CTCTGACCATTGAAGGTCTGCCGGGGACTGAGGGCCATTCCTGGATTGTATGTCATAATACTATAACTAGGAAGAAAATAATGTGGTGGTTTTCCATTGCCTTCCACATTCCCATGCCGTTGACTAAGTAAATAGTTCATCCGCCTTAAGGAGCAATTTCTTACTCCTAGGACAAGAGATTGCCCTTCTTCATCACAAGAATGAAGTTAGAAGTTTATCCCGACTCCTGCTCGGTCCCCTCCTATGTTAGCCGTCTTACCAACGTTGCCCATCCTTCACCGGAGGCATTATGTCCCACACTAGGAGGTATAGATAGGGGTTTTCCCATCAGCAAATTTGAGACCGTAAAGGCATTTCTCAAATTCTCCGGTACTTTTGAAGGACATTGGTATATTAGATGCACTATTATCATTAATATTGATTTTTCTACCACATGACATGTAATGTCTATGTTCACGTGTGTGTCTGTGTATGTGTACACATAAAGCATTACTATTACTATTAAGAGCTAGACAAGTGATGAGAAATCCTTGCCAATGGGGCAGTCTTCCAGATATTTCTGTGGACTCATCCCAGCCTCAATCACTGCTATGATATAATTTACTTGCTCAACTGGAATGAAATGCCATTTATTTGAAATAACATAAATCTGCATATATTATGGATCTACTCTGCAATTATATTAGCATTATCAGATATCTTTTGACAAAGATTTTTGTAAAATGGTTACAATGTATAAATTGAATGATGTATTAGTATATAAAATTTAAATATAATATAAATATTCTACTAATTATGGAAAATAGTAAGTTCATTTCAGTTTTTTTGCAATGTTCTCTTTTTAATCTAAAATTATCATTATTAAATGATGATTATTAACTCCATGGAAGCTAGTTTTTGAAAGATTATAGCACATTGGTTTCTAAATTTGTTATCTTTGTGCGCACAATGTTCCATTATAATCTTTAAAAACATTCAATCCTGTTGAACAGCTTGACGATAGCTGATGTTAACTGGTGTTTTGCTGATTTAAGCAAGATTGTAATATGTTTGTATTTAAAAGGAATCTTCATAGAAATATTATCTGAAACTAACTGACACACATGCAGTGCATGAGAATGCAATGGCACACTCAAGATTTAATCTTGGAGAATTGAGTTGAGGATATAAAAAATTTTTAATGTATGTTCTTTATAGAAGATAAAACAGAATATAAATACAGAAATGAATGTAAATTAGGAAAAGTTTTGGAAAATTTTTCAGTTTTTTTTTTGTTTCCTTCACCTTCGAAGGGTACCACTGTGAGAATGTATTGCTACTCCAAGTGCAACATAATGGATTTTAATGTTTAGATGAAAAAAAATTTACTTTTACTAAATTTTTAAAATATCTTGCAATATTTTTTTTACATGTAGACATGTTCAAAGAAATAGGATCATTAAAACTTTTAGTCCAGGGATGATAAACCTATGGCATGCATGCCCAAAATGACACATCAGGAGAAATCATCTGACACATAATATTGCAATGGCACTACCATAGGACTTTAAAAAAAGATGATTGGCTGATAAACCAATCAGTTTCTTTACATTTTTCAAATTAAAGCATATTCATTTCATATCTTTGAATGGCATTATTCAAAGTTTAAAACTTTGGCACGCATAAACATCTTTAACAAGTACGCTTACTATATTGAACACAGATTCAAAAAGGTTTACCGTCCCTGCTCTAGTCTAACTACTATTACGGTAATTTTTAGTACGTGTGCTTCACAAATGAAATTATGAAATTTGTATACTAAAAACCATCTCCATGTATCCATTTCTATAAGAAATAATAAAATTCGTATTGTTTTTTTCAATAACAAGATATAATTGTTTTATGAAATATGATGGAGCGGCATTGAAATTGAATTCAAAGATAACCATAGAATTAAGAATTAAGTCGTTTATTACTTATTTAAATGAGAGAGATAAATCATCATCCAAAGATGATTTTGACAGTAATATGATGATTTATTTGAACAAAGATTATTTTCAGTTGTTCGCACAGATATAGAACATTTAAGTGCATAAATGTTCCAAGGAAGAGACATGTTCCAAAGTGGTATATCAGTTTTTCATAGATATAACAATTTGATAATTATTTACTTTTTGTAAAGCACTTCCTCATTTTCAGAATTAAAAAGGAAATCAACTGTTTTAAAATTAAATTAGAAAGAAAAATTTTCAAATAAATAATAATTAACATACATTTTATTATATCTTTAATGAAAAAATTTTCTATTTAAAATTCTTATATCTCCTGATGACGGACTTACCAGAATACTTCACTAAAGAAACTTCTGTTAGTTTTATGTGTACTCTTGTCTCTCAGTTTTATTTTAACAGGAACTTATAGGATCATTTGGCATTGTCATTAAAAAAAAAATAAATAGGTTGTTGATAATGCTATTTGTTAACAGATAAACAAAGCATTCTTTCAGGAACAGAATATAACGCAGAAGTAATGATGTAAAATATAGCTGAACAAACAGTATTTGGTTAACTGTAATGCCGATTCACTCTAGCACCGTTCTTGTATTCCTTATTAGTCCAGAAATGCAGACTAAATAATCTGAAACAATTATTTCCTACAGGAATTTTGTGTGTGTCATTCATTCAATCACATTTGCTTAATATTTCTATTCTGTTGCATTTTAATATGTAAATGAGTCAAATATAGGAAAGTGCAAATCTTATGACAGTTTAGTCTTACAAGATGATGACAAATAATTCAAAAGATTAATCCATTAAATTATATTTGTAGCATAAAATTGGCAAACTATATAACATTACTGGAATATAAAGACTCTAGTAATGTTAAAGAATATGACAGTTTAATAAATTATTTAGATCCAGTTATCTTTTGTAGAAGACAACCAGTTCACAATAGTTAGAATTTTCTACTATTCTTCCTTCAATATAGTTACTAGCATGTGTGCAATTCAATGTAGCATTTTAGATTGTCCCACATAGACCGTTCTATAAATTTCAGATTGGGATTGTGGAAATAGCCGGGGTAATTTCTTAATTCTATTTTCCTTAAATCAGATGCATTCAATACAAAATTTATGAAATAGAACGTTTTTACATTAGAATGCATATCCAATTTTAATAAGCTGATAACGTAGTTGGTGTCAACTCATCCAGAATGTCAAAACATAACACAAGGTTGAAGCAATCATCAACTAAGTGTTCCAATTCAAATCTTGCTGCAATACATCCTTCTCCTCCTAATTTTATTATCATACCAATGCGCTACAGCTCTGAGCATTCTCCAAACACATTACACAATTCAAATATTGTAGTGTTGCAAAGTATTCTCATNTGTTGTTTTTTTTTTTTGCATAGAGTTTGAATATGTAATAAAAGAAATGGTCATTTTCATCATAAAATAACATGTAAACATGTTATTTTATGATGAAAATGACCATTTCTTTTTCATACAATTTTTCAATTTTTGTATATAAATTCAGTTAAATATAGTTTTATTGAAATCTATTTGAATTTTTGAAAGTTTATCTTATTTCATTTTCACTTTTGTTTTGATAAATGTTACACTTAGAACATTTGCTTATAAAATAGAACGGTTAACTTACCAATTCTATTTTAAGAACAATTAACTTCCTCATTAAGTGCCAATTTATAAAAAGCTGATAAAATACAAGTTAAAACAGTTTTATCTTTTTTTCAATGGCATGTTATAACTTAACGAGAAGCCCGGATAAATTTGAATTAGGAGGCCCCACACAATGTTGACTTTAGTAATTTTGGGAAAATATAAGCATCCCTTTAACTCTTATTTTATGAAATCTTTATAAAATTGGCTCTATATTACTATTTTTTTTCATTTTTTTTTTGTAGAGCATTTTTTTTCATCTTTTACAGATAAGACGAATTAAATATTTAGAAAAAATTCGTGTAAATGAAAGCGTGCAAAGTAATATAAGCGTAAACAAAAAAATCCGCACGTTTGCACGGAAAATATCCCGTACCGAATCAAAACCGTTCGCCACCTGGCGGCGTGACGTCACTACTCTTCCCACAATTCCGTTAGTAAAAATCGTGCCATTCCAAGATGGCTACTTGATCCGTGGCAGTCGTACGATGTGATCTCTGTGTTATTGTGACTGCATAGATCGACATTAGATATATTTCTGTGAGGTTAAAGATGTCGCGGGATAGCATCATCAAAGTGAATCTGAAGTTATATAAAAAGAGTACGGAGCCTACCTTAATATTCGATGGTGGCTCTTCGAATGTAAGGAGCATATACCGATCCCCCCGACTTGCCGAATCTCTTTGTCTAATCTGTAAATAAAAGAAAAGAAATTAAAGGGTTTGGCTTTTTTTTGTCCCAGGTGGAAGTGTAATAAATAAATTTAAAAAAAAATAAAATATATGCGGGAGATTCGTCGGTAAATAGCTTCGTTCGTTACCTTGATGAATTTTTCAACCGCGTCTTTAGCTACGTCCAACAATGTTGGCCTAGCACCTAAATATGTGCGTTGATTCATTGATGCACTTGTGTCTACGAGGAACAATATAATCGTCATGATGGCACCTTTTTTATATCTAAGTAAACATCGGACCTATCTGTTTTGACTCGTTCGACGTCCACCACCTTCCCCCTTCCTTTCTGACATGGCGACTCGGCAGACGATCGCTGCAACTTACCAGGTCGTACCACGTGACTGGACGAACCGTAACGGCATCGCTCGTTGGACCGTTTAAGGGCGATTCGAATTACGTAATGCCCGTCGTCACGGGCGTCTCGAAGAACGATTGGACGGATGGATACGTAAAGCGCGACGTCGTCTGTCTATTGGCGTAACAAGTAAGAGAGACGCTTGATATACGTCGCGTCATTTGTTGGCGTATTCACGTGACGAAAGTAATCGGCGTTTTAATTCGTTGCTGGAAAGTACATTTTTGGGTATTTAAGGTCGGTATTGCTTATCGTTTGCCACTCGATGTTTATGTCTTTGTAGTGTGACGTACGTTTGAATGTAGTCTTTTTATTTTTATTTTTATTTTATTATTATTTTTTTTTTGTGTGTGTGTATTCGAAGCAATTTTAATAAATCAGAGGAAATATCTTTAATGGAGGAATATAAGAAAAATAAATTTCTCAAATCAAACGAATGATTTATGAAGTAGTGTCCGGATTCGTGAAAATATTAAGCAGTGACCTTTAATACTATTATTTTTGTACACCTTTGTATTGTTTGTAGGTAAATACAAGACCAGGCTCGTGTTACAAAACACTGGCTATCTTGTAGATGAATACAATTATATGAAACACAATCCTAGTGTCTTCCACTGTATTTAGTGTACTGAACTAGATTTGGCATTTGTGTAGTGAAAATCACCTTTATGATCTTAAAAAATGATTTAATTGGCTCTCGGTTGCTGAAATGGTATTTATTTTTGATCACTTCACAGAAATGGATATAATACACAGTAATTACCCACTAAAATACAGCAAAATCAATCTAAAATTGTTCTTACTGTATTATATCCAGTAATAAGCGATTAAATAATAATCCCCCTGCAGGTTATTATTTTATTTTTTTGTGGAAGTTTATGCCAGTTTTAAAACAACTTTATTCCTGTATGTAGTGAGAAACTGATTAAAAAAAAATGGCCAAACTAAAGATTGAATAAAGAAGTTCAAATATTGTAGAAACTAAATTGGAAATAATTCCTTTTGGAAATATTTCGGAAAGTTTGATACGCGAGATTTTTGCTTTAACCGATGTCGACATTCTCTGTACGTGAGTTTTTTAATAGAAAATTATAAAATTAGAATTCACTAGTATGTTTAGAAACAGCTTTCTTGTGCCGAAATTAAATTCCAGATAATTTTTATATAAAGGTGATACAACTATTTAATGATTTATTATTGTATTTGCATGAAATTTTAAAAATTTATATAGAATCATTATTACAATTTTTCTCAATGCTGGTGTGTTCATAAAAAATGTTTTTCGGCTTTTTTCGTCCATGTTGTCCTTTCCGGAGCTTCTTCCTTTCTCGTTCCCTTCTCATTTATCATATGTGTTATTCCATCTTTCCATTTTCTCTTTGGTCTTCCTGTTCTGTTTCCATTCAGAAAGCATTTTTGATATCTCCATTCACTCTTGCAAGGTATCTAAATCATTAAGATTTTTCATTTATATTATCTAATAATGACCTGCTTATGTTTCTTCTCTGAATTCACAATTTGATTTCCACTTTAATCTTGAAATCTTGGCCGATCTCTTCTGAAGGCACAGAGTTCTCCATTTTCCACTGCCCATACAAAAGTATTCCTTGAAAGATGGTTTTAAGTATGTATTTTTTATTTTCTTGAGATGATGCTACACTGCAGAACTGAATTCCACTTGCCAATAGCTTTCAATGTTTTTGTAATTCCATTTCTTCTTGTTTAGTTAAACCATTTAATTCAACTATTAAACAAAGGTAGTGACACGACATTTTTTGTTATAAACCATCAACCACTAGGTCTGACCAGGTTTTAAGTGCTCATATATTCTGTTTTCCTGTAATTGATCTTTGATCTATTCAAAAATAATTTAAACTGCAGACTAATGTATACCTAGCAATTTTGAATTCTATGGAATGTTGGGATTCTACAAGCATGTTTATTTTATGATAAAATATTTAAAACAAATTGATGTGGCAATAAGATTTTATATTAAAAAATGAAAAATTAATGATGATAAAGGTTTTACAAGTGATTTTTTTATTGTGGTATTCTATCAAAACTAAATTTAGCAAGAAATCCTACTTCAAAAATCAATTTCCTATCTGTGAAATCAAATTTCTAAGCAAGATTTGTTTTGTCTAAACAAGAAGAAAGATTGGTTTGGCATAGATTGTGTAGGCTATGTTTTATTCAATGTAATTCAAATTATGCCGTCTTTTATGAGAACAATTATTTATATTTAAGAGATTTTTCTGCAAAATAGTAGTCTTGAAATGTATCGTTTCTATAATTTAATACATAACACACCATTTTATTTTACTTTAATGTATACTAAATATAGAAACATTAGGCTTGCCATACGTGAGGCCAGATAGTCCAGGATATTGCCACCAATTCCAAATTTAACATCAATTGAGTAGTTAGAAGTGTGATTGTATTCATTAAGTATTTGATCAATGCCCTTTATCACATCATAGAGTGTGTGCACTTAAGTTTATTTAGCAAAAATAAAATGTGTACCATAACCATATCCATACAAGCAGAGTAGTCAGATCATGCAAAAAATCATGCACTATAATTTTTGGGATGCTGTTGTTAGCATTTATTAATTAACACTTCAAACAGCATGCCTATAGCAAATAGCTACAGAACGTAGATAATGTCTTGTTTAAAACATTGTACTGTACATAGGTGGTGCAGAAGTGCACTTTGGTACTCCCTATTCATAGTATACATCACCACCTACAAGTCAATTGGCCTCCCTATTTCTAACCATTCTGAGCTTTGAATTAGATGGTATCATATCTGCAGTGTACTTGCCACTATGTGCCTTGTGATGTAAGTATAATTTGCATTTACTTATTTATTTTTTTTAATGTATTTGAAAGAGTAACTTACTTATTGCATAAATATCTTTATTTTACAATGTTACAGATTGTAACATTAAGCTTATATTAGTTTGAAAATATACCAAACAGCTTTCAGGATGCCTATATTTTTGTGACAGCTTTAGAACAATCTGTAAGGGAATTGATAGAAGAAAGAGAAGAGACTGATTATGATACTGAAACTGAGTCAGAAGAGTGGAGATTATATTAGATAATTGTGATAGTGACTCCAAACAATTGGCTGATGAGATAGGTGAATTTTTTTTTTTTGTAGAAGACAATAGTAGAACAAAACTGACATGTCAAGAATGTGGTAAAAATGTTATATAATTATTAAATATATAGTTATATAATTATTAAATTGCCATGTGTGAATGCAACCAACAGATGGAGGTGGAGTGACCTATTTTTAATTATATAGATTCTTTATAACTGCATTTATTCAATAAAAAGATTAATTCCCTCTTTTATTTTATTCATATTTTTTAAAAAAGTTAAAGATTGGAGGATGTGATATAATATTACATGTGCAGTGTAATATCCACAATATATACCCTCTTATGAAACACTAAAAGGAACACCCACAAAAGGGTTTAATTATGTAGTTATTCCCACTTTTATAAACACAAATTAGTACAAAAATTGCTTAAAATTGATATATTTTTATTGTAGTATTTAGACTTGAAATTATCATTGGTATATTCTTCTTCTTCTTCTGGTTCCATATTCATTTCTGAATGTAGGACTAGTATTATAACAATCTCAATTGTGCTTCACGTGTTAGTTCTTCTGCTTTCTTATTATTCCATTCACATATATTACCTAACCAACTTTTCCTTCTCCTTCCTGGGCTTTTCTTTCCACAGATTTTTCCCTCTAAAATATTTCTCAAAATTTCATATTTACTTCCTCGGATGATGTGGCCAAAATNAAGAAAAATTTTCAAATAAATAATAATTAACATACATTTTATTATATCTTTAATGAAAAAATTTTCTATTTAAAATTCTTATATCTCCTGATGACGGACTTACCAGAATACTTCACTAAAGAAACTTCTGTTAGTTTTATGTGTACTCTTGTCTCTCAGTTTTATTTTAACAGGAACTTATAGGATCATTTGGCATTGTCATTAAAAAAAAAATAAATAGGTTGTTGATAATGCTATTTGTTAACAGATAAACAAAGCATTCTTTCAGGAACAGAATATAACGCAGAAGTAATGATGTAAAATATAGCTGAACAAACAGTATTTGGTTAACTGTAATGCCGATTCACTCTAGCACCGTTCTTGTATTCCTTATTAGTCCAGAAATGCAGACTAAATAATCTGAAACAATTATTTCCTACAGGAATTTTGTGTGTGTCATTCATTCAATCACATTTGCTTAATATTTCTATTCTGTTGCATTTTAATATGTAAATGAGTCAAATATAGGAAAGTGCAAATCTTATGACAGTTTAGTCTTACAAGATGATGACAAATAATTCAAAAGATTAATCCATTAAATTATATTTGTAGCATAAAATTGGCAAACTATATAACATTACTGGAATATAAAGACTCTAGTAATGTTAAAGAATATGACAGTTTAATAAATTATTTAGATCCAGTTATCTTTTGTAGAAGACAACCAGTTCACAATAGTTAGAATTTTCTACTATTCTTCCTTCAATATAGTTACTAGCATGTGTGCAATTCAATGTAGCATTTTAGATTGTCCCACATAGACCGTTCTATAAATTTCAGATTGGGATTGTGGAAATAGCCGGGGTAATTTCTTAATTCTATTTTCCTTAAATCAGATGCATTCAATACAAAATTTATGAAATAGAACGTTTTTACATTAGAATGCATATCCAATTTTAATAAGCTGATAACGTAGTTGGTGTCAACTCATCCAGAATGTCAAAACATAACACAAGGTTGAAGCAATCATCAACTAAGTGTTCCAATTCAAATCTTGCTGCAATACATCCTTCTCCTCCTAATTTTATTATCATACCAATGCGCTACAGCTCTGAGCATTCTCCAAACACATTACACAATTCAAATATTGTAGTGTTGCAAAGTATTCTCATACCACCACAATATTTTTCAAATCTCTGCAGTTTAAGAAAATGATCAAACACGCCCTTACAAATAACTTTTGGTATATTTTTTTACAGCTAATCCTATTGTAACTGTTGGTTTTAGAAATTTTAGAACCAACTGAAGTAAAACAATCTCTGATTTCTTTTTATCGTCAGCTGCTTTGAAAATGTAGATCTATAAACAAATAAAATCCCAAATTCTATTCTACGTAAAATGTCATTAGGCACATTTACTTTTTGTTTTTATTAATCAGTTTTGTATTTGGGCAATTAACGTGCTTACAGAAAAATTATATAATTCGATACTTTATTTTTTGAGCACATTTTACAAGAGGGCACGTCATTGTATATTACACAATACATAAACTGTCCCGGCCTATAGAATTTTAATAATCCACACTGCGATTAAAATTATTCTAATAATTGAACGACCGATGCATTACGTATGGTACCGACACGCATTTAAATATGCGAACAGTGAAGTGAAGAGGATCTAAAATGAGAATGTCGAATAGATAGGAGCGGAGAAAGCTACGTCAAGAAATTCTTTGCCTTTCGATACTTCTATTAAACATTTGAATGTAGTTTGTCAGTAATAATTAGAATTATTTTGAACCATTACTCGGTTCTTTCTTGTTGTAAAGGAAGAATAATTATCAGAAAGAATAGAAAGTTCATTTTTCTAATCCATTTTTCAACAATCACAAATTAGGTCTTATCAGTAGCAATTATTTAATGTAATAGTGAGTATTATATCAAAGAATTTATTGACATTGCTGTCTAAGAGCTAATCTCTGTTCAATGCTCTTGTTTTGGATTATTTCCCTTTTAAGTACACTTCCAATTTTTCTTTTTTTTTTTTTTTTTTCCTTTGAGTTTCGTTTCATCGACCGAATTACGTTTAAATGTTTAGTAGCAAGTATCGAAAGTCAAGGAAATTTCCTGTCGTTGCTTTCCCCGTTCGATATTACCTCTCGTTTTGGACATTTTCCCTATTCCCTACCGTTTTAGATAATTTCCCTATTTCCTCTTGGATAATTCCCCTATTCCCTACCGTTCGGACGATTTCCCTATTCCCTACCCAAGGACAATATACTACAAGGATAGCCAGATCCCTATTCTACAATGTTAGCCAGGAATGGCAAGTTAGTGACGTCAGCACGTGTCCTGACCTCTTTGTTTACCTAGAGCAGGGTGTGCACGTGTTTAGTTTTCGCTTTTAATATTCGTCCAATTTTGTGATTAACGAAGTGATTTATTTTAATATTTCTGTAATTGTTTTATTTGACTAAGTTTTTTATAAGGTAAGATGATTTAAATATAAGTCATTAAATATTTAAAGCTATATTTTTATGTTAGGTGAAGAACAAAAT